AACGTTAAAACGTTTAAACGTTAACGTAACGTAGTAGTAGTAAAGTAAAGTACGAAAGTACGTTGTTCGTTATTTTTACTTTACTAGGTACGTGTCGTAGTGTTTCTTATATATATATATATATATATATATATATATATATATTTGTGAGGCAATTCGATGTCTGAAATATCAAACTATTCCATTTCTAGGACGTTCGGATAACTAAAAGATCGGTCCACCCTACATTTTTGGGCCATCCTTCTTTATAGGGTTGTTCCGAGTTTTTTGAGCATAAGATTGTAGATACTTAAAAAAAGTATAAAAATCAGTCTGATGTTTGAATCTCAAACCCATAAAACATTTTAAAACTATGAAAAAGGGCGATTTGTGGTTTGTAGTATTGGATTTCCCATATACAACGGTGGGCAAAAAGTGTAGCGTGGTTGGATATTGCACTTTAAGAGCACCCTGTAAATGGGCGGTTTGATATATTTGAACATCAGATCGTTAAAAAAATATCAAAAAATACAAAAAATTAAAAAAAAGTTCGATGTTTGAAACATCAAATCATATGAAAAACAAAATACAAAAAAAAAAAGTGGGACCTAATGGTAAAATTACCGAACTTATAGACCAAAGGGCAAATTTGGTAATTTAAGTCTGTCCATATGTAAAAATCCCTATAAAACGTATGATTCTACAAAATAAAAATATTAACAAAACAAAATACTAGTAGCTCCTAGACCCCAGCATTTTAAAAAAGCCTTTTTCTTAAGATTTTTTTTGTATAAGGTGTAAACCGTAAGGCGCACTTCTAAATCTTGTTAAAAAATGCAATTTGATTGCTGGAAATCCTTATGATAGTCTAAAATCTATTTCACCCGTAATTATAATACTTAAAGCTTCAAAAAACTTGTTGATCGAATAAATCTATGAATACTTTAAAACTTTAAAAAATAGACGGTGTAGATAGCATGTGACAAGATGCATTAGTTTTAGGATTTAAAATTCTTTTTTTTCCATGTGCATTCATATCGAGGTCAAAATGATTAATTATAAGATTTTTCAACATTGGAACAATCTTCTTTGGTGGATTTTTTATGTGCACATTCTTTCTATAGTATAAAGTTTACACCTTATATCCTCTAAATGGAGATTTCGGACTTTAAGGATACAATTGCTCCATAGGAAAGAAATTTTCCGAAAACTTCTTTCTTGATGGACTATCTATTTTCTAGGTTTGTTTCAAGGGAAAGCAACAGATATTAACAGATTTGAGAAAGTTTTTTCTCAGCCTTTCCGAACGTGCAATTTATTTTACTATTTATTTTTGTAAGAAAGCCACTTTGAACCTGGTAGGTATAAAAGCGCTTTCTCATGGGACAAAAAGCCTCTCCATTAAGCGAACTCTCCCAAAAAGCTCGAGAACCACTTTCCAACGAAGCAAACCTACTTCAAGATACATGTTTCTAACTCTGAGTCATATACGGTCTTAGAGTATCGAAGTATATGTAGGGCAATATGGTGACGGATGAATTTGCCAAGTGAGATGCTTTTATCTAGCGACAACTATTTGGAGGGCTTTGCCCCTATGTGCAAGTTTTATTATTATTATTATTATTATTATTATCATTATTATTATTATTATTAAAAACTTTTTATGTGTCTGATGTCCGTTTTCTAATAAGGAAATGAAATAGCCTTGCCTCCTTTCCCTATTATTTATTGGGTGTGGTTTGTATAAGTATGAGGCTCTAAACAATCAAATTAAAGCGCACCTTCAAATAGTATTGAGAAATATGGTTTCAATACTGAAAATCTTTGTGATAGACTTAAAATATATTTTCATCTCTAATTATAAAATTTAAAGCTTCAAGATATATGAAAACTTGAAAATCTAGAAATTGATAGTTCAAAAATACATTATAAGATACATTATTTCCAAAACTAGAAATTCATTTTGTTTTCATGTCCATGTATCTTGAGGTCGAGATGATCAATATGAGGATATTTAGGCATCAAAACAACATCTTCTAGTTAAATTTTTGAGGTGCACCCTAATTTGATTGTTTAAAACCTCGTACTTATATAAATTTTTCCTTCTTATTATACTAATCTTGGACTAGAATCAGGATCTTCAACATCCAGACTGTTAGGTTTATATTAACAGAGTGTGTACTATGAGACCAATTATTTGTTATATAAGGAGGCCACACTTATTTTTAGCTATTGGATGTGAAATCTAATAGATTAAAGTTTGTCAAAACATTCGAGAAATTTTATTTTAAAATTTGAGCCCAATCAATGACATATCTTCAACCACTCAATTTTACATCAAATGGTCAATAATGATTGTGACCTCCTGATATCAAAAGCAAATGGTCTCATTGTATGCATTTCCCCATATTAATCTCCAACCCCATGTTAACGTACGCATATGGTCCGATGAGATCAAGTAAAGCTAAGAATAATAATATAGATCTTCGATACATAATTTTGTTCTATTTTAGTGCTCAAAAGTATGCTTGACAGTGAAAGGAGGCCAATGAAAATATCAAATAGCGATGTTCTAGACTTTTCTATTGTGGTTTTTTTTTTTTTTGGGCTAAATGAGCAAGGTTATTATTGGACTTTCTTATATTAATAATGATAGAAAGAGAAAAATAGGGTTAAAACCTCTAGCACAATCATTGAGGATAAAACATTTCTCAATCAGGTTTGCAACTTAAAACAACCTAAATTGCCTTTGCTCTGAGGAGGTATATTTTAGTAATTTGACTTACTAAAATGTTCCTCCTTATACAATGAGGCAAGTATATAGAAAGAGTAGAGATAAAGGAAATAGAGAGAGAGAGTACTGAAAGGGGGAAGAATCAAAAGAAGAAAAAAAAAAAAAAAGGAAAAACAAAGAAAAGAAATAAGATGAAAAGAAGAAGAAAAAAAATTAAGAGTAAGT